CCGCAGCTCTGCCTGACACAAAACCCACCTGGTCGGGAGAGATGAGCTTCGGGAGCACGGCAGCCAGTCTGTTCGCTAAGATTTTAGATAACATCTTAGCGTCTAAATTCAGTAATGATATGGGGCGGTAGGAGCCAGGGTGAAGCAGGTCCTTACCCTTTTTGGGCAGTAATCGTATGTAGGCATCACTAAAAGTGGAAGGATAAGATTGGTTAGTAAGAATATCTTGGTATAGTGACCTTAATACTGGGGCAATGTCAGGGGAGAGCAGACGGTAGAATTCAGCAGAGAATCCATCAGGTCCCGGGGCCTTAGCGCATGGGGAGTGTTTGATGACCTCTTCTATTTCTAGAGGCGATATGTCGCGGTTGAGGGAGACAAGGTCTTCCTCATTTAAGCAAGGTAAAGAGACAGTGTCCAAGAAAGAGGAGCCCTTACCCTCATCCCCCTGCTCATGTTTATACAGGTTTTGGTAAAAGCTTCTAAAAATTTCACATATGGAAGAAGGTTCAGAATGCAATTTGCCCTCCTCATCTAACAGGCGAGTGATATATGAGGGTGCTGTTTTTCCTCTCGCTAGATTTGCCATAAGTTTCCCTGACTTGTTCCCAAATTTAAAAAGGCTTAGGTCTTTAGGCGCTCTTATGAGCTTCTCAAGTTGGCGTAACCAGTGGTCACAATCCTGTTTAGCAGATACCCAATTTGCTCTAGTAATGGGTGTGGGGCCCTGTTTATACTCAAGATAAGTGCGTCTGGCTGCCGTGGTTGCCTCTACGTATCTACTCCTGATCAGTTTTTTCCTAGAAGTAGCGTATGCAAGAATTCTGCCCCTCAAAACTGCTTTAGCCGTTTCCCAGAACAAGGCAGGGTCAACTAGGTGCTCAGAGTTATCCGACGCGTACTCATCCCACCACTGTTTGAGTTTACCCTGAAAGGTATCATCATGTGCTAAATATGAAGGAAATCGCCAGATGATTTAAAGGTATCATCATGTGCTAAATATGAAGGAAATCACCAGATGATGGGATGAGTAGGCGCCCCAATAGTCTTAACCGTTAATAAAACAGGAGCATGATCTGAGATGACAAGATCTTCCACCTCGGCCGAGACCAGGTGAGGCAGCAGAGTTTGTGCAGCAAAAAATAAATCAATGCGTGACAGCGTGTTGTGAGCATGTGAAAAATGGGTGAACTCTCTGTCCAAGGGGTGTAAATACCTCCAAACGTCCTGTAGGCCCGTGGATTCAATCCAGGTGGACAAGCGGGAATCCTGAGGGTTGGCCGACGTTGAGGAACAGGGCATCTCTCGGGAGCGGTCCTCTTGGGGATTTGGAACTGCGTTGAAGTCACCCCCAATCAGAAGTGGACTGTCAGAGTGGCGGGAGGAGAGCTTCTTGGCCAAGTCATTGAGGAACGACTGATTATCATTGTTGGGGCCATAGACATTCCAAAGATCCAAAGTTTGCTGTCCCAGTTGAAGCGTCAGGAAGGACCATCTGCCTGATTCCGCATCACACTGATGATCAATGACGGTGTGTGGTAAGGACTTGCTGATGAGTGTGATGACCCCCGCCGATCTGCCTGAAGCCGAGGCTCCTATGGCAGTGCCCACCCAGGATTGATGCATTCGGAATATGTCCGTGTCTTTGAGGTGAGTTTCCTGTAGGAGCGCTATATCTACTTTTAGCCGTTTGAGGTGTCGAAGGATCCGTCATCGTTTGCAGGGACGCACCAGCCAGTAAAGTGAGAATGAGCCGTTTCGCAGCTAGGAGTTGATCATGCTTTCTTCTTCCGTGGAGGACTTTTCATCGGAGAAGAGGATGTTGGCGCATCCCATGAATCCAGGAATCTCTGAGCTTGGGTGGCTGAGGTGAAACTCCAAGCTTTGCCGTCAGAGGTAGTGAAGCGTAGTATTGCAGGGTATTGCAAAGCAAACTTGATGCTTTTGTGAACCAGTGCATGGCGTTTTCCTTACTTTGGTCGTTGCAGCAGAATAATTCGCAAATAAAAGTAATCGCAGGCCATCGATTACCAGGTTGCGTTGCGCGCGATACGCTTGGAAAATAGTTTGCTTGTCATAATAGTCTAGATATCGTACTATGACTGGTCTCGGCTTGTTGTCATCTCTGGGTGGTCCCAGTCTGTGCGCCCTTTCCACCCTGCAAAGATCAGAAAGGCCCATAGCCTTGGGTATGACTGTAGAGCAATAGTGGCGCAAATCAATAGGTTTCACCGCTTCTGGGACGCCAATGATTCTCAGATTATTACGCCGTGACCTATTCTCTAAGTCCTCCACCTTGTCCTGTAGGGCATGCAATTGAGTATTAATGGCTGCATTGTTGCGCTGCGTATCAACTGCATGGTCCTCCAATTCGCCTACCCGCCGCTCCACATCTTGCATGCGTTGCGCCTGAGCCTCTAAGGTGGCGTTCAATTTGCCCATGTGTAGCTGTAAAGTGTCAGCAATTATGGCCACCATGTCAGCTTTCAGGCATTTAGTGACCTCAGCCGCTATTTGCCTGTAATCCAGGGCTGGAGTCACTGGTGTTAGCTGTACTGATGACTCACCCCCTGCAGCCTCGTGTGTGTCTTCCTGCTGCATCGTCTCAGGCGCCATATTGGATGTGGCAACGTCTTCTGAGAGAGGGTTCGTCAGTGACCTGCGGGCTTTCTGCTGGCGATCGATGTATCGATCCATGGTCGGGTGAGTACCGGGGCTGGACTGGCTGTTAGCGGCGGTCGGATGGTGCTCTGGGACGAGGGTGAATCGAGGTGACGGGACGGAGCTCGGTGCCGCTCGTCTACCTCATTAGGCGCCGGAACCGGAAGTCCAGCCTGTAGTTTCTACCAGCTCTGTCCCCAGTCTAGACTCCTTTAGGGCTTCCAACGCTACAACTACCTTTTCAGTGCATCTGCTGTTCTCAGTCTTTCATTATGGAGACTAGACTGATTTTGTGGCAGCCATATTTATGGTTTTATAACAGAAGTCAGAAGGAACTTTTATTATTTTTTTGCTTATATGAATAACATTGTATTTTTACAGGCCCCTTTATTTCTGTTATGCACACTGATCCTCTTTATTTAATTTTTTGTCTTTTGTGTGAAAGGAATAAAAAAAAAAGTTGTGAAATATTAATTGCAAGCATCAGTACCTGACCTCACATGTACTTTTTAGCTAAATGTGCACAAACGTAATTTTCACTTGTGCCTGGCCAGAGAAACCAAGACTAGAGCAGTGTTATTGTAACCACTTTATAGGGGGTGTTTATAACCTACAGTACTAATAGAAAACCCGTCGTAACACCAATGAAATGCTTCATAAATTCACCTGGTGTATCCTGAACAAAGAAACCCTAGACATGAATTTCTTAGATATGTTAATAAAAAAAAAATAATAAAGCTATTGTGACAATATTTTCTCCCAGGTTTTTCCTGGTTACTTCTTAGGCGTTTGTATCGGAGGTTCAGCTGGTATACCCTACACAAAGCTCAAATAAATGTTTAAAAAAAAAATGTATGCTAGATTTTGGTCTATTCTGTTTTTAGGTCATCGAGATACTGATGTCATTTGTATACCATGTCTATTAATTTAACACCTGGGCCATGAATTATTCTATATCCTTCCTATGTTCACATAGTTTATATAACTTCCCCCTTTTCTTTGACTTCCTATCGCCACTTCCTCCAGTACTTTTTCAGTAGCTCTTTCCCCACTTTTGCTCTTCTTTTTATCCTAAGGTGTAAAAAATGCACTTTTTTTTCTTCTCTGCACGTTTTCGAGAGCATATATTAAATACGTGCATTTTTATGAGTCGATTGTGGCACATTGAAGTAAATGGACAAACGTGCAAAACCAATTGCAACACGTGTTTCCTATTAGGCCTTGTTCACACCAAGCGCAGAGAAGGTGCAGAGTAGAGCAGTTGCAGACCGGATCAAAACTGCTTCCAATGGTATTTTTTGCTCCAGTTCACATCGCAGCGTGCAGTTCCAGAGCAGGTGAAAAAACTGCAGCTAGCCCTAAACACAAGCAAATGCCTGAAACGCACTGAAAGCCCATGTTAAACTAAAAAAAACGCATCAAAAACGTGGCACTGCATGTGCAGAAACCTGAGTGAATCAGCTCTGCATTTGGTGTGAACAAGGCCTTACGTCTGTGGGACCAAAACAAGCTGAGATCTGCCCCAAAGAAGCTCATGTACCTTTTCCAGCAACGGGAGTTTTACTTGTGACAAAACACACAGGGGCTATAAGAATGAATGGTACTTTTTTTGGTGAAGCTTTTTAAACGGACTGAATCAGCTGCAACAATATGCTTAGCCCTCATTCACACTAATTGGAGCGCACGTACAGCTCAGTGCAGGGCCGTACCAAGCAGCTCCCAGGAAGGACGGGTGCTGTGTGTGATTAGTACGCAGCCCTCGTCCTTCTCTATGGGACTACGCGGCCGTACGCTGACGTACTCGTATGCGGACAGGATCCTGTCTGCGTCCGAGCCGGAAAACACGCACCCCTACGGACCTGCACTTGAGGTGATCGTGGGGGGGCAACTACTCCCATAGAGGAGGGGGGCTGCGTACTAAATCACACACAGCACCTGTCCTTCCCGGGAGCTGCTTGGTACGGCCCTGCATGCAGCACGGAGCTGTACGTGCCGGACGATTACAGTGTGAATGAGGGCTAAGTGTGAACCAGGTTTTAAAGTTATCGCTCTGGAAGATGCACCAAGCTGTACAACAGCTGCATACTTGGTTATGGACTCTATGGTGATCTAATGTTGATGTATGTTTTCATTGTTTGTTACAATCTTTTTAGAAGTTTAATAAGAAAAAAAATAAAATAAAAAGCCGTTTTCAGTAAATGTTTTAAACTGATTTTTCAAAAAAAAAAAAAAAATGTATGTATAATTTTATTAGAATATGCTTGAGTTTGGTTTTTTTCTTACAAGTGCAATAAATAGAATTTTGTTGAAACAATAAGAGGATGACAACAAGGTTGGACTTCTTCGTTCCGAGCAAAGCCTACAAAAGTCCTTTCTTCTTTAGCAAAATATTCTGGTCCTGAGGATCCATCCCTTCATAGTTCGCCAACTCCAGAGTAAATGTGGCGCTCCCTGATGTTAACGATCGCAGTTCAGTGGAATAACCCTTGGGGGAAAAAAAAGAAGAAGTATATAAAAAGTAAATTAACAAATTTGAATCTATAAAATATGCAGAGAAGCAGCAAATACTGTACACGTTGTACTAGTTAAAAGGAGAACTATGGGGTTAAGGCTTTTCCCCATAGTTCTCCTTAGGGTAACAGGAGGACACAAACTAGCATCCTCCCGACGTCGGGATCCGCCCAGCTGCGTGAGTGACAGCTGGCTCTGCCTATCTAGAGGCAGAGCTAGCTGTACCCGCCCCCTCCCCCGTCCGTTCCGCCAGTCAGCGCTGGCGGATCGGAGCGGGGAGAGGGGAATCCAGCCCCTCCCC